CCCCCGGGCCCCCCCCCCCCCCAGCTCACGTGGCAGAGAAGGCCCTGCTAATTTCTTTTTATTATTTATTAGCATATTCATTATTACAAATCATGATTTTTCTTTATGCCCTTTAACTGACCAATCACTACCCAAACCCCCTCCCTCCCTCCCCCCCATCTCTAGTATCCTTAGGTTTGCTCTCTTCTTCTGAAAGTTTAATGTATTGTTGTGGTCTTTTCTTCCTTTCCTTTGCTCGTTTGTTCATTTGTCCTTTTGTTCTTTCTTAGCACCCAGTTATGAGTGAGAACATGCAGTATTTCTCTTTCCTTGTCTGGCTTATTTCACCTAACAAAATCTTCTCTAGACTCATCCATGTTGCTGCAAATGGCAGGATTTCATTCTTTTTTTTTTTTTTTTTTAAAAAGATGACCGGTAAGGGGATCTCAACCCTTGGCCTGGTGTTGTCAGCACCACGCTCAGCCAGTGAGCAAACCGGCCATCCCTATATAGGATCCGAACCCGGGGCCTTGGTGTTATCAGCACCGCACTCTACCGAGTGAGCCACGGGCCAGCCCGATTTCATTCTTTTTTATGGCTGAGTAGTATTCCATCGTGTACATATACCACATTTTCCTTATCCAGTCATCCGTTGATGGACATTTAAGTTGGTTCCATATTTTGGCTATTGTAAATAGAGCTTCAGTGAACATGGGAGTGCAGGTATCTCTTCAACATGATGGTTTTCATTCCTTTGATATATACCCAGTAGTGGGATTGCTGGATCATAGGGTAGCTCTATCTGTAGTTGTTTGAGGAAGCTCCATACTGTTTTCTATAATGGCTGTGCTAATTTGCAGTTCCACCAGCAATGTAGAATAGGTCCCCTTTCCCTGCATCCTCACCAGAATTTGTTATTCTGGGTCTTTTTAATAATGGCCAGTCTAACTGGGGTGAGATGATATCTCAAAGTGGTTTTGATTTGCATTTCTCTGATGACTAGTGATGCTGAGCATTTTTTCTTGTGCCTGTTGGCCATTTGTATGTCTTCCTTCAAAAAATGTCTATGCATGTCCTTTGCCCATTTTTTAATTGTTTTTTTTTTTTTTACTATATAGTTGTTTGAGTTCTTTATATATTCTGGATATTAATCCCTTGTTGGATATATAGTTTGCAGATATTTTCTCCCATTCTATAGGTTGTCTATCTGCTCTCTTGATTGTTTCCTTTGCTGTGCAGAAGCTTTTTAGTTTGATATAATCCCATTTGTCTGTTTTTTCTTTTGTTGCCTGTGCTTTTGGGGTCTTATTCATAAGGTCTTTATCCAGACCTACTTCCTGGAGTGTTTCCTCTGTTTTCCTTTAGTAATTTTACGGTTTTGGGTCTTGTATTTAAGCCTTTAATCCATTTTGAGTTGATTTTGGTGTACGGTGAGAGGTATGGGTCCAGTTTTCCCAGAGACATCTAGTCTTTATCTGGGATTTCTTGCTCTCTGCAGTGCCTGGAACAACACCTTGTACATGGTAGGCAGTCAATAAATATCAGTGCTCTATTTTGGAGAAAATGTTGTAAAAAAAAAAAAAGATCATTTTGTTACATCTATGAATTACTTAACTGTCTTTTTTTTTTTTTTTAACAGATTTACCAAGGAGGCAAACTGTTCTACTTCAAGATTTTTTCCCAGTTTTTTCTATAAATCAAAACATCTCAAAATGGAGGCCTAATATTCTTAAAAGGGACTTAGTCTAATCTCGGGAGGTAGTTTTGTGCATGAGTAAACAAATTAAATAGTTAACTGGAGTTTTTGGTATAATTATGTTATACCAAAGAATGTTAATTTTAAAAATATGATCTAGTTATGTGAGGTATAACTATAATTTGATTTTGAATTTGATTTGTGGAAGTAAAGGAAAAGTGATTGTAGTCGGGGCATATTGTTGAAGCACTTTTTTCAGAGTTGGTCAGGCAATCTCCCACTAGCTGCTGTGTAGAATAGAAAAAGTACCTGTGTTTGATAAAGATTTAAAAATGAGTGACAGTTATCTAGAACAAAGGATTAATATTCAACCCTCTGCAAAATTAGAGAAATATGCACATGAAACCTTTGACATGTTAAAAGACTTATGCAATGGCAAGGAAATGTCAAGAACAAAACTTTTTGATATGCACAACAAATTTAGGGGAAGTAGGAAAGATAAATATGATGACTGGTGAAGAAATTGTCCAATCACAAGACCACTGATATTTTAAAAGTCTAAAGTTTAGTTTATTGAAATGGGTTGTTATCTCTGAGAATGATGAGAATGGGAATGAAGGCTAAATGGTTACATTTTGGTAAATGAACGAACATTCAGAGAGAAAATTTATATAAAGACAGTGATGAATACAGGGAAGGCTTTTCTAACAATTTTAAAATTTTGGCCAGTAAAAGGAATAATGAAGTTAGATATAATAACTTACCTCTGAGGGAAACAATAAAGAGATATGTTTATGGTAAAGAGATATGTTTCTCCTGCTACCTGGAAACAAAGTCTTGAAGTCTGCAGTAGAAAACCCCAACATCTATGAGATCTAGGGTAAACCATGCTTGTAAGTCACCAGTAGAAAAACCACAATGACTTGTTTATTGGTCATTGCTAGTACTATTTACACAGAACCTATTTACTAATGGCTAGGAGATCATAACTGAGAAATTCTGAATTTTGACAAGGTCTCTGCTATTCAAATGGTAAAGTAAATGTATTAATTTTTTTTGTCATGGTAAATTCCAGTTCAAGATATGTTTATCTATGAAGTAATTTCTGACCAGTACCAAATTTGTGCAATTTGATTATCCATCTTAGTCTATAAACTTGGCACTTTGTGATTTTTTAAAATAAATCCACTACCAGAGTAGAAGATTTGATGTTGGCTCTGGGGACACTTAGGAAAACAAAAATTCAAAAATGTTTTGAGCAGGTAATAAATTGAATAACTCTACAATGTTAATTCTTTGAAGGAGACAAAAATTTAAAAAATCTTTAAAAGTTTCATTATTTTATAGCCATGTCTAAATTATCTTTAAAAACTTTTTTTTAACCAAGGGAGCAAAATATATATCATGCTTCTGTTTTTCCAAAAATAACCTGAATATAGTAATGAAGTTCAGTTTTGTTATTGATAGTTTGTGGCAGAATCTCCATTTGTAGCACCTGTTTTCTACTTAATATAAAGGACATGTTCAGGTTCTAGAATGAAAAAATGGTGACATTGAGTTGCTTCAACAGCATGAAACTGGGTCCAAAAGACCAACTGAGCAAATATATTAATCTCTGCTACTTTATTTTAAATAGAATGTTTAATTTTTTAAGATCTAATAGTATCACTATAACTAAGCAGTCATGTTCCTGATGACCTATGAGGAAGTAATAATCTTAAAACCAGGTTTTAAGATGAGTTAGCCAATTCTGTTACTACTTAAACTCTTTATTTGGAGGGGAATTTTAGATTGTTTTGTCCTCCCTATTAAAATGATTGTAGAAAGACAAATTACTTAATTTGAGAAAGATTTGAGATATACCATATTTCGCTGAATCTAAGATCTCATCAATTGTAAGACACCATTATTTTATGTACCTCTAAGAAATAAAAATGCTGCTAATTAAAACACAATATGCCATTAATTGTAAGATACTTCTTGATAACAGAAATATTAAAATGGGCATCTTAGAATCAGTGAAATAAGGTAATGTATTATTTTCCTCCTTTAATGTACATCTTAAGCTTTTTTTCTGCCTACCAAACTTCAGTTCCTAAAAAGCAAAATAATTTGAATATTTTTGCTGTAGAACATTTGGGGAGCATAGCTTTTCACCATGAAAAGAAGCAAGCTTCACAAGTCAGACATTTTATCTTCAGGTTGGTTGAATGCCACCGAAACATTCTAGTGGCCTAGAGAAGTTGACCTACCTATGGAGATACCTGACACTAAATGGCATTCTGATGCCCTAAAATACTTTATGCTTCATAAAAGGTTTTAATTTTCATCACAGGTTACTATGTACCATCATGTTTACATTTTATGTATAAAGATTTTGCGAAGGTGCAGTTGTGCATAATTGTCCCTTAAAATGTATCGGAATAGGATTTAGAATCTTGCCCTAAATGCACAGAAGAAAAAAGAATAAAAGATTTCTCATTTTAGATGTTCAACCTAGTACTAAACTAATAAAATCAAAAGTCATGCACAAAACTACCTCCCAGAGAAAGGCTAGTCCCTTTTCCTACCTATCCATTTCATTATGAACATAGTAGAAAATAGCATATTTTTATCAAATTTGATGAAAAATGCCAATATGTTTGAACTGAAATATGACCTTTCATGTGAACTGTACCGAATGTCTACGTATTCAACTTTTCCTACCGGGGTTCCCATCTCAGAAAGGAGTCTTGCTCGTGCTGGTTTCTATTACACTGGTGTGAATGACAAGGTCAAATGCTTCTGTTGTGGCCTGATGCTGGATAACTGGAAAAAAGGAGATAATCCTATTGTAAAACATAAAAAATTGTATCCTAGCTGCAGATTTGTTCAGAATCTAAATTCAGCAAACAATTTGGAAGCTACCTCTCAGCCTACTTTTCCTTCTTCAATAACGAATTCCACACACTCATTACTTCCAAGTTTGGAAAACAGTGGATATTTTAGTGGCTCTTATTCAAGCTTTCCATCAAGTCCTGTGAACTCCAGAGCAAATCAAGATTTTTCTACCTTGAGGACAAGTCCCTACCACTGTGCAATGAATACAGAAAAGGCCAGATTACTTACTTACCAGATGTGGCCATTGACCTTCCTGTCACCAACAGATCTGGCAAAAGCAGGCTTTTACTACATAGGCCCTGGAGACAGAGTGGCTTGCTTCGCCTGTGGTGGAAAATTAAGCAATTGGGAACCGAAGGATGATGCTATGTCAGAACACCTGAGACATTTTCCCAATTGCCCGTTTTTATCAAATCAGCTTCAAGACACTTCAAGATACACTGTTTCTAATCTGAGCATGCAGACACATGCAGCCCGCTTTAAGACATTCTTTAACTGGCCTTCTAGTGTTCTAGTTCATCCTGAGCAGCTTGCAAGTGCAGGTTTTTATTATATGGGTAAGAAACTTAATCTGATAATAAAAAAATCAATATGTTTTCTCTTTTATGTTTTAGTGGGAAAATTGTATGTGTTCATAAGTTTTGGTCCAAAATTAACTTTAGGTCACAGTGATGATGTCAAATGCTTTTGCTGTGATGGTGGACTGAGGTGTTGGGAATCAGGAGATGATCCGTGGGTGGAACATGCCAAATGGTTTCCGAGGTAATTGTTTTAAAATTCTCTTTGCAAATTTTTGTGATTATCATAAGATGGGTTATATGGGTTTACTTTACAATCAGCAGTTACTTTATTCTGTGTTTGTTTCAGCAATACATTTGTGAATAAGTTTTTTTGTGTTTGTTTTTGTTTTTTCCTTTTTGTCTTTTTTCGTGACCGGCAACGGATCGCAACCCTCAGTGTCGCGCCTGTACCGGACCGGGACCGGCAATGGGATCGCAACACTGTTGCGCCCACACCTCGCTCAGCCAGTGAGCGGCCGGTCTGTATGTGGGATCCGAACCCTCGGCGGGAGCGCCACCACGCTCCCAGGCGGCGCACTGTAGCAGTGCGCCACCAGGCCGGCCCATAAGTTTATTACTTAGAAAAATAATTACTTAAAATGTTTTGATGGATTTAAGGCAAAGAAGAAATAGATTTGGGATTAAAAAGATTTTGTTTTAGAAATATATATATACATATAGTAAAATAATACATGCTTATTATAAAAACAAAGTCACATATTGTAGAAAAGCACAGAAAAAGAAAATGAAAATGTCCAGAAATCTCAGCACCTTAAGATGACCAAGTTATCATTTTCGTGAACATTCTTCCAGACATCTCTTCATGCATATGTACATATATAGACAAATATATACAATTTTACATAAATTAGGTATTACATATAGTTTTGAAACTTTTTTCAGTCAACATATGTCTTGAATGTATTTCTATTCATTCAATATTCAACAATATTAATTGATCACCCACTGCCAGGTGCTGTTCCAAGTGCATAAAATACTCAGTTGAACAAAACCAAGACCCCGGTCTTGTAAGCTTATTTTATAGCAGGAGAGGGCAGACAATAAAAACCTAATAAGTTATATGGCATGTGGGAAGATAATAAGTTCTATGGATAATAAGAAAAAGGAGAGCTGGGTAAGGGAGATTGAAAGTGCCAGGCAGGTTGCAATATTAAATACAATGGTCATGATAAATATAAACTCATGTGTTTTAATCACTACATAGCATTTTATTGTCATGTTTTACCCTTTTGATTATTCTATACTTTTTTTTGTTTTTAAAGATGACTGGTAGGGGGATCTTAACCCTTGACTTGGTGTTGTCAGCACCATGCTCTCCCAAGTGAGCTAACCGGCCATCCCTATATAGGAATCTGAACCCTTGGCCTTGGTGTTATCAGCACCACACTCTCCCAAGTGAGCCACAGCCAGACCTTATTCTATTCTCTTTTATACTCTTTTTCATCTAAATCAGATGGCTTATAATTATGTTTTTCATGGTCAAAACTTTTAGTATTATTTAATGTTGATTACTACCCTTGGCATCCTAACTTATTTCCATCATGTAATTTTTTAAAATATAGTACAGTATTTTATCTGCATTTATAGCAACTTTGTGCTCCCTAACTATTGCAGATTTTAAAAATTGTGAAGATAATAAAGAAGATATATAAATTTTTAAAAAGTGCTGCTAGCTTTCCATTGTGGTAATTTTGTGAATATACAAAAAGAGTGGTAAATTTGCTTTGGTAGTGTCATGAATTCGTTTTCTTAAATTTGACAGTGGATGTACATTATCTAGAAATTGCCAAACATGTGAATATCTGGTATTAGAAAATGTGTTCAAAAAAAAGAAAAAATGAAAAAATAATAATAAAAAAAGAAAATGTGTTCAGTGGGCTGGACTTTTAGCTCAGTTGGTTAGAGCACAGTATAACACCAGGATCAAGAAAAAATGAAAAAATAATAATAAAAAAAGAAAATGTGTTCAGTGGGCTGGACTTTTAGCTCAGTTGGTTAGAGCACAGTATAACACCAGGATCAAGGGTTGGGATCCCCTTAGTGGCCCGCTGAAAAAAAAAAAAAAAAAAGAAAGGAAGAAAAAAAAGGAAATGTATTCAGTTTCTTCATTCCTTCTCTCTTGTCCCTCTTTGTAGATTTTCAGCTTTTAAAACTGTTATGGAGATGAGCAGTATCACTTATTTAGAGAATTTTCTACCTCTCCCCATGGTTTCTGTTTTAATGTCACGCATGAGGGTGTTTTTAGTAATCTTAGAATAGTTGAAGCTCGCAGCTCTGAGTGGAGACCACTACAGTAGACCGAGAGGCTCCTGACACTTAACCACTCCAGCCATGGCAGATTACCAGTTATATCCTTCCTCTTGCTTACATCAACTTGCTGTTCACTGCAGTATCTATGACCACTTCCCCTGAATGAATAATGAATCGGTTATATGTAAGTTTATGCTCATCTGAAATATTTACCAGTTCACAAATGGCTGAATTAGCTTGCCCAAATTAAGATAAACATTTAGGGCTTTTCAAAATTATCTGAACCATAATATATCCTAGTAAATATAAAATAGTAAGATTAGTTTTGTAAAACATTCAAACCATATGAAAAAGATACTAGTAGTAAATCAAATTCATGTTAACTGTGATAAACAGCATTTTAAAAAACAAATTTTAAAATCCACACAAAAAATTCTGAATCCTACCATAGGACACTTAAGGGTTAGTTTTACAAAAAAAAAAAAAAAAAAAATTAAAAGAAAACAAAATACAAGGGAATCAGTTTCGACTGGGCTAGGATTTATTTTTTCCTTCTAATGTTAAGTTTAGAATCAGTGATATTACATGATTCTGTGACTTGGGGAGACACTTAACTAGATTTGAAATCGACTAAAATGCTTAGAAATGAAGAATTTATATTACCAAATTTTCATTTTACTTTTATAAAATAACCTCCCAAGCTTTATTTTGTTTACATTTCAGGTGTGAGTACTTGATAAGAATTAAAGGACAAGAGTTCATCAGTCAAGTTCAAGCCAGTTACCCTCATCTACTTGAACAGGTAGAGAAGTTTCTTTTTCTTTCAATCATTGGTTACCAACAGAGAAGCTATTTTCGGATAATTTCATAGAGGGTATTTTAGTGAAAAGAAAAGAGTTGTTTTAAAAATATTTTTTTTTTTTTTTTTTTTTTTTTACAAAACTCAGCATGATCTTAGAAAGTATTGTTGTTTGGAGAAGACAGATCCATAATTAGTAGCAACCTCCTGAAAAATAGTATGTGTTATGTTTCTTTTTAAGCGTTTCTGCAATCAAGTTGCAATAAAATAAATTATTTGAGGAAAAAATTGGCTGGGATAGTGGCATTTAACACTTTTACTATATAAATTTTTCTTAAAAAGATTTGAGAAAGAAAATTTTATTCTTTCTAATCTTGGAAAAGCAAATTAGAACTTAATAATAGTTTAATTAATAATTGTTAATCAACCACATTGTATATTGACAAAATAAAATAAAATTTGGAAGGAAAAAACTAATAGTTTGAGGGTCAAACATTTTCTAGTCATGGTCAACGGAACTGACATAGGGTCCAACTGACCCCAAAGGATGACCCAGGGAAAGTAAGATCTGTGGATGAAAGGCAAACTGATTGTCTCATAAGTTATTGAAAAGGTATAACCCTCTTCCTGTTTTAATGAAAATAGATTTTATTTGTTAATGCACCCCCCACACACACACATACACACAGAAACTATCAGTTTATGGCCTAGGGAATAACTGTTGAATATAAATGAAATATTGGTTTTGATTTAAATTGACTTGCCAGTAAGCAAGTTGGTTTTTAATAAATCGAATACAACAGGTCTGTTGGCTCATTTTTACTGCAATGGGCAGGATAAGATTCATATTTTAATTTACATATTTTTTTTTTCTGTAGCTGTTATCCACATCAGACACTCCAGAAGATGAAAATGCAGAGTCACCAAGTATGTATAATGTAAATAGAACCATTTGGTACTATTAAGACTGAAAGTTGATAATAATAATGCACATTTGTATTGATTTGTAATTTATAATATATACCTTCAAATACACTATGTTGGTATTTCTCACACTTCAGTGCATATCTGAGTTGCCTGGAGAACTTTAAAAATATTATAGATTTCTAATTTCTGCTTCAGGCCTACTGAATTGAATCAGCATTATCTAAGGGTTTTAACATCTAGAATTGTAACAAACTACAGTCATCCCTTGGTATCCATGGGGGAATTGTTTTCAGGATCTCCTGCAGTTATCTAAATCCCTGGATGCTCAAGACCTTACATAAAATGTATTTGCATATAACCTATACATATCTTCTTGTATATTTTAAATCATCTCTAGGTTACTTATAATACCTAATACAATGTAAATACTGTGTAAATAGTTGTTATACAGTATTGTTTAGAGGATAATGACAAGAAAAAAAAAGTCTGTACATGCTCAATACAGATGCAGTTTTTTTCCCAAGTATTTTCAATCTTTCTTGAATCCAGGGGTGTGGAATTCATGGATATGGAGAGCTGACTGTACATACATCTAGCTTAATCCTTGTTCTTGGACCATTGTGGAAACAGCTGTACTATGACATCAGATTGCTCACATAGTCTTTCTGTGAAGTGGAGAGGGTAGAAAATTTTATTTCCATTTTTCAACAGGGACTCTGAAAATCAGAGAGGTTGAGTAGCTTGTCCATCACTTTAAAGCTAAAGGGTGATAAAGCCAATATTTGAATAAGCTCTTCTACCACATTATCTAGTGTTCGATTCAATTCAATAAGTATTTATTGTGTATCTGCTCTTCTGAGTAAAGAATAAAAAACAGGATAAACTTAACTCCTCTTCTCATAAGCTAATAATCCAAGGGATACAGACACAGATGGGAGAAAGGGACATGGTAGGGAAAGTAAAGTGTGATATGAGAGTGCATGAGGGACAATTAACCCGGACTTGGAGGATCAGAAAAGGCTTTCCAGAGTATTCGTCATAGCAGAGAACCCAAAGGAAGAATAGGAGTTAACCAAGTAACAAAGGGAGGAAAAGAGTATTCCAGGCAGATCATATAAAAGGCCTAAGTGACAAAGGAGAACAGGCACATTTGAGGAAATGAACCAAATCCTATCTGGCCAGAAATAGGAGTTGCAAACAGATAAATGAGTGAAGCATGCCAGCTGTAAGAGTAGTTGACACTGCACGCAGAATTTGACCCAAGAGCCATCAGTTTGTGATTTGTGGGCTAGAGTCATGCAAATGAGTAGGTGGCAAGGGATGAGACTGAAGAGGTGAACAGGGTCCAGACTGTATGAGAACCTATAGGCCACAATTAAATTTTGGATTTTATCCTAAGAACAATGGAATTGTTGATGGAATTTAAGGAGTACGACACAATCAGATTTGTGTTTTTAAGCAGTCACTCTGGTTGCAATGTTGAGAATGAACTGGAAGGGAGCAATATTGTAGGAGGCCTTTGCAGTTACAGAGGTGAGTGAAGATAATGGCCTTTTTCAAACATATGTGATTTAGAAAGCTCATTTTTTCATTCAATGTAGGGAGAAAAAAGAATCTCAATTCTGGTCGGGGGTGATCTTTGACATTGTTTCCTTCTGCTAACATAGGTATATCCAGTTAAGACTGGATAAATGATAATGATAATGCATATTTTATATCTAAATACAATATTCTGCATTCTTATTTTGGTGACTGAACATGTATATCATTTCAAACTTGACAAAGTTCATACCAAATAGTGCTTATATATTTTCTGGGTTTTGTTTTTGGTATTGTTAATAACTTTCAGTTTAAAAAATACACAGACTATCCTAATATGTGTTAAATTCTTTGTTTCATATAGTTATTCATTTTGGACCTGGAGAAAACCATTCAGAAGATGCAGTCATGATGAACACACCTGTAGTTAAAGCTGCTTTGGACATGGGCTTTAGTAGAAGGCTGGTAAAACAGACAGTTCAGAGTAAAATCCTAACAACTGGAGAGAATTATAAAACTGTCAGTGATATTGTATTAGATTTACTTAATGCAGAAGATGAAATAAGGGAAGAGGAGAAAGAAAGAGCAACTGAGGAAAAAGAATCAGGTATGTATATGTATTAATATAGTCTCTATTTCAATAAGGATATCTATCACTCTATATAAGTCACTGAAAATATATTCATCAATCCAGTCAGTCTGGTCAGGTTTTTCTTATGTTTAGTATTCTGAATTCAAATTCTGAAAAATTTTTCACATTAAAATTCATCTGAATCACTCACTAAATTGAAAGTGTATATGTTGAGCAAAAATGTTTTTTCCTGCTTTTCTTTAATTCATATTTTTACTCTGGGTAGTTGACTTTGTATGCAATTATTCATGGCACATTTTTGATCCCAGGCTAGTCACTCATTCCCCATTGCTGTAAATTGGGGTGGTATGAGGGAATCCACCTATAAAATATATTTCTTCCAAAGAAAATCAACGAAGTCTCCAGAGATGACTCCAAGTTATCAATATACAATGATTTACATTGTCAAAAAGAGCCCTTAGCGTCTCAGCCTTATCTACTACTTAGTGTGGTCTGCACATAATCTGCTCATAGCTCAAGAAATTTTTTTTTTTTTTTTTTTTTTAAAGATGACCGGTAAGGGGATCTCAACCCTTGGCTTGGTGTTGTCAGCACCACGCTCAGCTAGTGAGCAAACCGGCCATCCCTATATAGGATCCGAACCCGTGGCCTTGGTGTTATCAGCACCGCACTCTACCGAGTGAGCCATGGGCCGGCCT